ATTGTAAGTTTCCTGAGGCCTCCCCAGCCATGTGAAACTGTGAGTCAATTAAACCTCTTTCCTTTATAAATTACCCAGTCTTGGGTATTTCTTCGTAGAAATGTGATAATGGACCAATAAAGATGTAAAGCAGTTGGCCTAGTATTTAGCACGTCGTACACACTCAGTGATTACTAGCTGGGTGATTTTGGGAAAGTCAATTCACCTCACTGCTTTTCCAGATTCTCATGCATCAAGTACAAGTATATCTTCCTCAAGAGTGACAAGAAGATTAAATGAGAGATTGCTTGAAACCCAATATCCGCCCTTACGATTCTTCCTTAGATGCCTAAATGAGCTACCACCACCACTTAGATTTCTCTGTGGGAGTAAGGAGAACTGACCTTCTTTCTTCATTACAGGACTTGCCTTTTTTTTCTGATTTTAAAAGTAACACATTTGGTGTACATATAGAGAATAAATGTGGACGTGTTTATACTAAACTGTTAAATCATTTTCCTCTGGGGAGTGGGATTGGAAAATGAGCATTTTCACTTTGAGCTTTACTGCACTTGTGCATCGTTTGAAATTTTTACAACCACCAAGTGTTCCTTTATTTACTTATTTGACAGAGTCTAGCTCTGTCACCCAGGCTGGAGTGCAGTGGTATGATCATAGTTCACTGCAGCCTCTAATTCCCAGGCTCAAGCAATGTTTTAAGTATTTCTTTAAAAATTAAACGAAAACACAGGGGCTAGGCACAGTGGCTCAGGCCTGTAATCTCAGCACTTTGAGAGGCTGAGGCTGGCAGATCATGAGGTCAGGAGTCCAAGTCCAGCCTGGCCAACACAGTGAAACTCCATTTCTACTAAGACTACAAAAATTAGCCAGGCATGGTGGCACATACCTGTAGTCCCAGCTACTTGGGAGGCAGGAGAATCGCTAGAATCCAGGAGGCGGAGGTTGCAGTGAGCCAAGATCATGCCACTGCACTCCAGCCTGGATGACAAAGCGAGACTCTGTCTCAAAAAAAAAAGCACTTACTGTAGATAATTCATCTCTTGTTTGTATTTCTTGTAAGAATATTTTTAAAGCTCAGCTCTTTGTCTTTTAATAGTGAGTTTAATTACCTTTATTGTCATAACTGATATGTTTGTCTTACTGCTGTCATTTTGTTTCATGCTGTCAATTTCCAAAGCTTCCATGTGGTGTCCTGCCTTCTTTGTCTTATGCATTAGGCAATATGTCTCCTTTTAATTTTCTATGTGGATGTGGAAAGTAGAAAACCAGCTTTTCGTTCTATTCGGAGATGCTTTTAAGTCTTTCATAAATGTGTTGGAAACTATATTCTCTTTAGTGATACAATTCAAGAAAAATGCAGTAACAGGGTCTGGATTTGAATTCTGGCTCCAACATCATATCAACATCTACTGCACCATGGAATCCAACACTTACAACCTGGGAAGATCCTAGGCAGGTGACTTAACCTCTCTGTGCCCCAGTAGGGACAAAAATGACATTTATTTCCTAGGACTGGTGCAACGTTGAAATGAGGTGACATTGCAACATTGTAAGACATTTATCATAGTGGGGTATGATTATCTGGTTTTCCTTAAAAGAAACAAGGAGGTAAGGGGGAGAGAAAGTCAAGCAGGGACTCTGGTGTAGCTGCCTTCACTACCCAGAAGTCTTTCTTGGGAAATTTCTGATTTTAAACATAAGGGACTCTTGTGCCCTGTGAACTGAAGATCATAGACTTGGCCAACCTAGCCCATTCACTTCTGTATTATATCCCACGACTTCCTATCTGGCCCTTTAAGAAAAAGTTTGCCGACCCCTGCTTTAGATCCTCCAGATAATCATCCTTCTTTCTAAATTTAGAAGAAGCCATGTCTCTCTTGTCCTATTATAGCCTCTCAAAAGCTAAGTGGCTCTTAGCATATATTAAAAGATTTTCTAAAAGACCATTAGCATCTGCATTTAATTGTCCACAAGGTGGGGATACTTAATCAAAAACAAAACTAGAAAAAAACTGAAAAAGACACAGATGCTGATTGCAAAGCAGGGCTCTCCCAAGGCTCAGACAGAAGGAGGGAGAAGGGCAAGAAGGGACAGATTCCCAGGGGCTCCTTTATCCAGCTCTGTCTAAGGTTTTAAGGATGGGATTTGGCTACCTTAGGTGGCATCAGGCTCTTTCACTGTGCCTGTCATGCTACTCCCCAGATGCCTGAAAACCAGGCTGGCATCTAATGCACATCACGCTAAGAAAACCGATCAGGTTCGCCCTGGGGCAAGTGAAGGTCTCCAATAGGCTGTCCCTTACTTCTGGTGCCTACTGCCCCAACCCTACAGCATTTCCCAATCCAGAGACAGAATGAACAAGACCTTTTTAAGTCTAAAATGAAGACTTTGCTTATGAAATAATGATCCACTTGAAGATCCATTAACAAAAATCAAATTATCTCACGTGTTCATACATGGTCTTGAGGGTTTCAATGCATTGCAGAGCTATGGTCTAGAAGCACTTGATTCAGGAGTGGGGGGTAGAGAGGAGGACTGTGCAGTTACCAAGTCCTGAGGCTTCCTTGGTGGGGTCAACTCATTTGGGACTGAGCTCCTATAGGCTCAGGGGCAATGGAAATCTGGCCTTCTGTCCTGAGACTGCTCACAATCTTGGTGGGGAGACAGGACCAAGGCCTATGGAACTGGTAAATGTAATAATGGTAAGACCCAGTATCCAAGAGAGTGATCCAGTGGTGGTGGCCCATGAAAAATAATAGAAATTAGGAGAAGGAAGAGATCGGGTGAGCTAGAGATGGCAGGGGAGAACTCAGAGAGATGAAGCAACACACTGAAAACTAAATAAATTAGAAGTGGTTAAGAAGTGCAAGGGAAAATGAGGGGGCTGGTCTGTAGGAAGGTGAAAGACCACTGATTGATAATCCTCCAGACTGGGTTCTGCATGGATGCTTTGTATGGTGACTGTTTCACTGGCAAAAATAACTCCATCAGATGTGCATACTTATTCCCCTTTTGCCAATGAGGGAGCTGAGGTCTAGGTCTAGTTACTTAATCTAAGCTTATTAGTTCTACAGCTGGGAAGCATGAAAACTGAGTTTTGTATTGTTTTTCTAACTCCAAAGCTTCTGTTCTTTCCAAAAGTGCCGATCGCACTGGGGAAGAATGGCAGATCAGGTTGTGTAGACCACACTGTGGGAAGCTTGGAAGTCAGAAAGAAATGTCTATTCATGTCACGGTTGGGGCAGGTTCTTGGAAGGACAGAAATGCACCGCTTGGTCCTGCAAATTGGAGCAAATACTGATCTGATTGGTCCAATGAAGAAATAGTTAAAATCAAGTTAACACTAACGGCCAAGACTTACTGAGTGCTACCTCTCACCAGACACTGTTTCAAGAACTGCGCATACTCCAGACAACTCTGCAAGGGGGTTCCCATTATTGACCTGCATTTTACAGTGGGGCAACTGAGGCACAGAGAAGTCAAATCACTTCCCCAGGGTGGCTTGGATGATAAGGTGCAGGGTGGAGACAACAGGCAGTCTGGTGAGAATCAGGGCTCTGGAGGCCTTTTGTTGATATGCTTCTCATTAAGGAGGCTTTAGTCTAGTTAAAAGGTCATTCATTCATTCATTCATTCGGTGATTCATCAACCAGTATTGATCAAGCATCTATCAAGTGTCAAACAATACATCAGATGTGGAAATATGAGGCCAAGGAAGATTCCCTAACCTCATGCGGCATCCATGACAGTGAGAGTGCAACTTATGAGGACTTACTTTACACCAGGACTGCTCACTCCATACATATCTGATAATTATCATTATCCCTTCTTTTTTTTCCAGCTGGAAAATACAAAGGCTCAAGGGGAAAAGTGAATTGCCAGGATCCCAGCCCAGGCCCCTCTCACTCAAAAGCCCACCTGGACCCCTTGCCATGATCAGTTTTCTCATGGTCCCCTGTCTCCCATCCACCCATTTGAAAGCTCTGGGCAATACTCTCCCTTAGGCACACTCCCTTCTTCATTCTCCTGTCCTTCCTACTCATGGCCATGATGTCCAGATTTGAGTTTAGGAATTGGGTAAGTCAAGAGGTCTCTTAGGTCCCTATCTTCTTTCTATCACATGAAATGTGAGGAAGAAGGCTTCTTCCACCTAAAAGGAGAGAATCACAGCCTTCATCTCCTTGGACACCATCAGTGCCCCCAAGGGGCCTTTGGGATACTTGCTATTCATCCATTATTCACAAATATTTATTAAGCACCTATTCTGTGCCAGGTATCATGGTTGGTACACAATGCTTGGTATACCATGCTTGGTACAGAAAACCTGACTCCTGCCTCAAGAAGCTTTATCTGTATTTTAAATGTCTGTAGTTTGGTGAAACAGATGGCTGATCTTGAAAATTGAGTCCAAAGCTGTCTTGTGTGGCAAGGCAGGACAGAGGAGCTGCTATCATAAGCCATGCGCTTGCTACACACTGTGTTTCTTCTGGCTGGTTGGCCCTGAGTCTCCTGGAGATTGACCACAAGGGTATCAAGTCAGCATTTAACAGGGCACAAAGGTGGAGACTGGGAGACATCCCAAGGAATTAGGGAAAATTAACATGTGGAGAGAGGAAGAGTGGTAAGCAGCCTGAAAGACCCAAAAACTTGCAGCACTGCCAATGGTACTTCAGGCTGACAGAGCTCCCCTGGGCAGGAGCTGGAAACTCGGCTCTTAATGGCTGTGATATTGAGAGAGTTCCCAGTTGAAAGAAGAGGTGCTTTTGATGCCTGACAGTCCAGAGCTGTTTCTCTACTTTAATCTCTGGTTATAATTTAAATTCCTATGTACAGTGGCCTTATGAAGCCGCTGCTATGCCAGCATGGGGGTGAGAGAGTGGCCCTTGGTCCCAGGAGAAGAGGAAGGACTGATACAGAAAGGGAACACCATGGCCTGGGCTGTTTGCTCCCATCCCCAGCCTCTCTGGCTGACAACAGCTGCTGCCCCTGCAGGCACATACCTTCACAACGCAGCACAGCGCTGTTCCAGACCACGCTGCCCTCCTTCAGGATGCAGGTGATGGTTTCTGAGCCCTGTGTCCCAAGGAAGCCTTCATCACAGAGGAAGGAGATGGAGCTGCCCAGCTGGAGGCTGTCCCCAAACCGTTTGCCATTTACTGGAACGCCAGGATCCGGGCACTCATTGTGTCGGAAGGCTGTGTAGATGGGGTTCAAAAACATGATCAGACATTGCTGGAGTACAGAAGAATCCCCAAAGAAAATAAGCTTCCTTGGGATGGTCAACCCTAGAGCTCCACCACTTCCCCAAGAACTTGTCATACTGGAGGGAGAGCTAGACACCCAGGACCTGGGCATTAAGCAGGTGCTCATTATTTGATTTCCTGCCTTCCTGAGCACCTATTCTCACTGCATTCTAATGGACATTTATAGATCAGACAATGAGCTAAGTGTTTCTGCTGTTAGCTGGCTTACACCATATAACGATTCTATGAAGTAGTTCTTGTTACTCTACTTTACAAATGAGGAAACTGAGGCTCAGTGTGGTTAATGAGCTGATCTGTCTCCTCAATGTCAAATCCATTCCAAGTTTCCCTAACTTCAGACAGTGATGGGATAATGGGATAATTTCTGCTTCAGGTGAGCTGGACTGTAAATCCTGTGACACTAATAGACTGTAAGCATCATAAAGGAGGTGCCCTAGAATTAACCCTGTCTGAACCTACTTTATTTCCTTGCCTATTGTCAGGGCTGCCTCTCACTCTACCCAGGCAATTGATAATGCAGAGCATGGGGAGAGGACAGAGTCAGAACACCGTAGATTTAATCGCACTTTGCCTCTTATTCGTTACATGGTCCTGGACAACTTATGCAATCCTGATGAGCCTTAGTTTCCTGACTGATAATATGGAGATCATCCTTCACTTGCAGGGTCATTCTGAGATAGAAATAAAATGAAAGTTGATATGAACATGAGAGTGCCAAGTGTTTGGTGCGGCACGTGACAGGTGGTAAGTGCTCACTGAATATGAGTTCTCTTCTTCCCTCCTCTGCATGGGAAGATGCTCTTTCCTGCCCAGTCTCTACCAAGCATGTTCCCTGCCTTCCTCCAGCAGGGATATCACAGTTCTCTCACTAAATGTCTCTGAAGTCAAGCCCTATTTGCACCCCTGCTGTTCTGAGGACAGCAACTTTCCAGTGGAGACCAGGATCTGTGGCTGCATGGGTATGGGCCACTTGAAAAAAAATTCTTGGACTCTGAAATCCCCTAGTGATAGAAACACTTGCACATTCAGAAACAGTCGCGGTCCCTGAGGCTGTTGGATCTTGCTAGAGGCAAGAGGCCTGCAAACCTGACCCTTTCCATTACAGATGAGGTATGGGAGCCTCTGATGTGGACATGACTGTGATGATCCCATGCAGGGCTTTGGCTGAGCACCCAACACCATTGCACCATTCCCTTTGAATGCCTAGGTCAGCCCAGACTTGAGTCTCCCAACCTTTCTGCATTGGGAACTATGACCATGAAGTTGCCCTGACATTTAGAAATATGGTGTGGGAAGAAAAGTGATGTTTGAGGCCCAGGAATCTAGGCATTTTTCTTTCAAACCCATCAGTCATACACGTGCAGGTACAGAGGAAGAAGATGGAGCTGCCACATACAAACACATATATGCGTGGACACACACACACATGCAAATGCACATAGCAGGAATACGGAGCTATTTCCAACATCTGGGAGCAAAAGCTCTGAGTCAAGGACTCATTTCTCCCTGTGTACCTTTCCAAACCTCAGTTTCCTGGCATGTGAAAAGGGATAGATCTTGCTATGGAGTTTTTGTTGTGAGGCTTCCAGTGATGACTGTTGAGTGCTCGGCACCAGGTTCGGCCCACAGTGGGTGCCAATAAATAAAATAAATAAAACTTTCATTTTATTTCTATCTCAATAAATGGCAGCTACTGTCATCATTGTTCATTATGTTCCACGTGGAAGAAGAATTAGCTTTGTTCACAGGAGTTCTAGGGGTGGAAGTGGGATCACTGATCCTTGTTACAGGGACACAGATTTCAAGTCAATGTAAGGGAAAACAAGTGCCTGCTAGCTATGGAGAGAGCTGTCTGGGGAGGCGAGCTCCCTGACACTGGGAAAAGCCTCAGCGATCATCAGCCAGGATGTAGGAGGAGATTAAAGTCCTGTGGGAGACACTACACTAATTCCTTGACACTTGGCCATGGATGATTGTTTCACTGGCTGTATCCAGATCGCCTCACAAGCCTACAAAAAATGTAGATTCTGGGGCCCCATACCTTTAGTGATTCTGATTCAGCAGGTCTAGGATGGGGCCCAGATTTTTAAAATGTATTTCTATCAATCCATCCAATGGTCCATTTGCATAAATGCGTAGAAAACTATCTGCTATTTGTAATAGCACCCACCAATTGTTGGCAGGGATCATTTCTGCCTGGGGGGATTTTGGGTGGTGGTTAACATCTCTTCTTTGACCTGTCCCATTTTTTGAGTATTTGCGTATTGGATGTGTATCATTTTTACAATGGTAGAGAAAGTTCAGAAAGAAATACAAGTAAGAGCTTGATCCTCAGGTTAGTGTGCTGTCCTCAAGATGAGGCTTAGCCTCTGGGCCACCTGCTGCCTCCTCCTCCCAAGTTCCTGCTCAGTGTCTACACATGCTCTGAACCCATAGAGTTCTCAGCCCTCACCATCCTGGATAAGTGTGTTCCCTGGGATATCTCTCACCCTTGTTCTTCCCACTCTGCCAGGACAAGAAAAAGCATTTACTCATTCACGGATCCTTCCATTCTGTAAACATTTGCTGATCCTTACCACACACCAGGCCCTGTGCTGGGCTGAGGAAATAGAAAGATAAGCAATGCATACTCGCTCCTTTCTAGTATGAAGCATCATGGTCAGTGCTAGACTAGGAAGGTTAGAAAAGAGAGAACTAGACTCTTCCTCTGCTTCTTCCTGCCAGTAGGGGATGAAACAGGAATCTCTGAAGGAGATATGTCCTGAGAGGGTTGAGTATGTCCTAAAGAAGAGTGGTGAGGGGAATGGAATGGGCTTTATCTAGCTGATCCTTGGAATTGAGGGTCCCAAATAACCCACCACATAGCTATACGTAGCCCACCACATAAAGACTAATGTCTTCAGTCCAACTGGGCCCCAGAGATAGGTGGAAGAAGGAAGCAAGGTCTTTATGCCAAGGGTGGGAATGGGGGTTGGGAAATCAGTATGTGTTTGTGGGCATGGGACAGAGCTTGCACTGGGGACTTGCCCTTGAGAAGCAGCCTCTGGGAAAGGATCTAGTTAATTGCTCAGACAGACCCAGCTCCAACCTCATTTGACTGTTCGTCATCAGCCAAGTTCACTGGATTTACAGCTTATTATGACCTGATAACCACTTCTTGCTATCTTTGGTGGCTTGCTATTTCTAGTCTCCAAGCTTCTGCCTGCCCCCCACCCCACCAACCCCTCTGCAACCACGAGATACAGAAATAAAAATAATCACTGCTGAGTTTAGGCTGCTTCCAAAGAAGGGGCCGAGGATTGAAACTGGAGGTGGCAGCTTTCAGGCAGTGGCCCTGAGAGGGGCTATGGGGAAATTCCCTAAGAGTTGTCTCCCATCAGTCTGGAAGCCCAACAGAAGTGCTGCTCCAAAGCTCTGATTCTGATTTGACTATGGGAATGGAAACTGGGCAAGGCAAAGTGAGCAGCCCTGCCAGGATCCTGGAGGTCAGAGCAGCAGGAGGGCATTCAGGGATCTGGGAGAGCACCTCAGAGAGGGCATCAGGAACTAATGAGAATGATAGAGGCATTCTTTCTATTGGGCCCTCCCTAGTTCTGGCTGGGTCTTGTAGGATGGGGAAAGTTGGGGGCAAAAATGAGGTTCCAGGCTCCTTTAACATATATCACAACTATGGGAGACAAATGCCCTTTAGAGAGTGACTTCCAGAAAAAGGCACCTTGCCTGGCAGCCAGTGCTGCATGCCCTTTCTTGTTGGAAACTCATGTTGGGGGCTCCATCTCTGGGCACTGCAGCCCTGAAATGCCCTGGGAACTGCCCACTCATACCAACACCCCTCCATGGGAGCACCTTCAGTCATCCTCAGAGGCAGACACTCAGAGGGAGGGCTGGCTGGTGACAGAGGGAGGACTCACTGGTAAAGGTGATGTTGAAGCCCCTCTTCCCTGTGGAGTGGTCGGTCTGGAACTCGAGACGGGCCACATGGCCACTGCTTGTGATGGAGGAGGGAAGCTGGTTTCCTGAGAAGGTACCCAGGACTGGTGCCTCGGCAGTGGCCCCATCCTTGATGACCAGGAAATCAAACTGAGGCTCCACATCAATGTCATTGAAGGCCAGGTGGATGCGGCTCTCAGGCCTGGCCAGGATGAGCCAGACGCAGTGGAGGTGGTTGCCGTAGTCCTCTGGGTAGTTGGGAGACAGGACGACCCCAGACGGGCTGGTGAAGTTGAAGAAGCAGGAGACTGCAAGAGAAGAGCAGTGGAGGTCAGTAAGCATCCCCAACACTCTTCCTGGGCCACTGAGGGCTGGGAGGGGGCACATCTTCTCAGCCTAAAAAGCAATAGAAAGAGTGGCACAAGGTTTGGGTTAGACTGGCTGAGCTCTGAGCTCCAGGTGGGAGACATGCTGGGCTCCATGCTGGGCTCCATGCTGGATTTAGCAATGGGAAGGGCCCCTTTGGCAAAAGGCAGACATGGCAGAACCAGTTTTCTCTTGGCTCCTCTCCCCTAGTCAGCATGCTCACCTAGGCTCTGTCTTCATGCTTTGGGTCCCTTGGGTGGGGCAAATCCATAACCCAAGCCTAAGTGTAGAGTCACAGTCCCTGACCTCTCTCAGCTGGGTTTGCAGCAGTAGGAAAGGACATTGCTTAATGACACAGTGGTGGTAATTCCCCAGGCGGTAATGGGGTAGAGGCAGTCCAGGACCATTTGTCTCCTTCAAAGATTTTCGATGGGAAAATGATAGGTGTGCCATGAGTTTCTGATAACCCCAAGATACCACATTATGCTGAAGAGGTACCAGGAGCACCATCTTTCAGAGACCAAAGCTTCTGAAGAAACTGGGGGAGGGAGGTGACAGTGTCCATTGTGATCCCTGCCCATATCCTGTTTTCTCTCCTCTATTTCACCCTAAGGATCTACCCTTCTAAAAACCCTTATTTTAAGCCCTTTTAATGCCAACTACTAGCAGACCCTGGAATAACAATAGGCAAATAAGGTGCTGTAAATGGGAAAACAAACAAATGCTAAAACAAAATTACAAAAGAAAATAATAGAATGAAAAAATAATTTCAACACCTATAATATAGGAATAATATTAATATTGAATTAGAGCTTTTATTATTATTTAAGAACATCACCAAGATGAATAAAGAGAGTGCTTAGAGGATTCATAAGAAAATAGAATAATATGATAACACAGTTCATTTCAATAGGAAAAATAAAGAAAAAATATAGAACCCAATATTGTTGAGGCTTTATGGCATCTTATATATGCATTTATTGTCAGTTGCAGAGTAAAAGTGATATGATCCTTTTTGAAGAAAGTATGTAAGCTCTTATCCAGAGCCACAAAACTACTCAAAGGCTGACTCAGTAATCTTTAGGAATTAATTCAAAAGAAAAAGAGCCACCTAGCCAAAGATGTTTACAATGACATAATTTTATTAGAGAGGAAAAATGTGAATAAACTATATGTCAGCCCAATAATGTGAGGCAAATTATAGCCTTTAATGTGATGTAGTTTGAGTGCAATCATTAAAGTGATAAATATGACCCTGTAGAAAGAATGTTAAACATAATTTTAAGTAAAGCAGTAGATCATAAAATTATATGCATGCTTTTGATTATAGCTATTAAATATTTGTTTATATATGGATAAAGACTGGACATGAGCCCCCAAATAAAAATTGTATCAGGGTCATAGGCATTCAAAATGAAACAATGTTTAATTTTTCTGATTGCAAAAATGCTGTAGGTTCATTCTAAACATCTTTTAATAGATACAAGTACAAAGAAGGTAATTCCAAACATGGATAAACATTTAAGTCCATTTATAGCATTTATATAGATGTTTGGTGTTAATTAAATTGATATTTAAGTGAGTAAAATATTTGACTTAGTAATGCAATGATGCTAAGATGAAGAATAATAAAATGATGTTTGCCAAAGGGGAAGAAAAAACACATAAAACAAAAAAAATTGGTGACTCCTGGTGATGAGTTTAGTCCTGATTCTTCCTGACTCTGCCCAGCTCCCCCTTTTCTGCATGAAGTATTTCTTTTCCAGTCTGCAGCTGTAAAGCCCTCCCATGCAATTCAGCAAAGTAAGCCTGTTCCTAAGACACATTCAGTCTCATCCCTATAATCCATGTAGGCTTTAAGTATAGAAAGACTTCGAGCCAAGGGAAGAGAAGGACATGAAAAAGCTTTTAGGCAATGCAAGATACAGCTAGTGGTAATTATTATTATATATTATTGAGGGTTTACTAAGAGTAGACATCATTCTAAGCACTTTCATCAATTACTCAATTTAACTGTCACTGTAACACTATGAGGTAGGTATTGTTATTAACCCCATTTAAAGATGAAGACACTGAGGCACACAGAGGTTAAGTAATGCAGGGACAGTAAATGGTAGCACCAAGGCCAAATCAATGCAGTCTGACTCCAGAGACCAAGCTCTTACCAACCCCCATCACTGTCTCTCAGTATGAGAATAACACTTCCCACTGGGCCTATGTGACTGTGGAGTCTTAGAATGTGTTCCTTGAATCTGTTGGAGATTCATCTGTTGACTTGAAATATTACATCAGCTCTGAACCGAGGGTCTCTAGGCTGGACATGGATGCCCCCACACAGCCATCCTGTCTCTAGCTTTGTGGGAGTTAAGTTGGGAACATAAAGCAAATAACAAGGAATCAAAACCCAAAGGCAAAGACCTTGAAGACAGAGGAGGTGAATCAGGAGGCCTGCTGAGCAAGTCCAAGGCAGATGATGACAAAGAAAGCTGCTAAAGTTTCAGAGGGAAGAGGGCTTCAGGGGCACTGCGAGTATGTGAGCAAATGAATTTACTGTAGAGGAGTATTTAATTAAGTAGGCCTGAGCCCCTCACCCCTGCTCCATCATTCCATCAGTGTATTATTTTTTTCTCTAGAATCTTTCATCAGGATTACCATGTTGCAAAGCTCCAGGGGCACCATTTTGGAATTTGAGCAGCTATATATTATAGCTCTGCTTATCATTCTCTAAAATTATCTTGTTTACATGTTTAGCTATTGATGGTCAGTTCCTCCCTCTCCCCAACACATACACAGATCTTCCATGAGAGCAGAAATCACATCTGATTTTGCTGAATTTTTAGTGACTCCCACAATGCCTGGTACATTGTAGGTTCTCAACCAACATTTGCTGAATGGATCAATGAGTACCTAATGGTTGAAACCAATCTGAAAGATGATGACGTGAACATGTGGGCCTCGCAACCCCATCCCACTCCAAACCTCAACCAACAGATTGACCAAAGTCTGTACAAATATTAACAGATGGACACCTATGTCAACTCCGGAAAACAGAGAAAAATACTGTGCTGCAGCCCTCCATGTATTTCTCTTAGACATAGTACAGATGTGCCTCTAAATAATTTATGGTGGAAAAGGGTGTGAATGAGCCAAATGCTTAAACAGCAAAGGCAACAGAAAGCTGCTCTTAAATATTAAAGGCCTAAAAAAATGTCCTTTTTACATCCACTCAAAGATGTTTCCTATTCAACCAAGAGATGGATTTAAATGACAGATTCAAGTATAGTAAAGCTGTAGTTACAAAAAGCATAAAAAAAGAATGACAATGAGCAAGTAAACCATATGGTAATGAATTAAAATAATTTATATAAACATAGTTATAAAATGAAATGCAAGTGTGACAAATATTCCTTGAAAGAGAAAACTTAAGACATTATTCCTGCCCAAACTCTAGGGTAGAATATTCCAGATTATACTGACACGAAGAGTAAAGTTGGAGCAAGAAGACATGCTAATTTGTTCATCTTGCAAGAAATCCTGTTTTGTAGTTTCAGTGGTTAATTAGAGAAATATAGGTTGGGGCATGTTTTTAAAGATGTTAGGTGTAATTAGTAACAGAATATGAAATAGCTTATCTTCAAAATTACCAAAGAGGAAAAAGCAAAGCAGTCAGTTTAGGGGAAAAAAAAGAAATTCAAAGGAAACAACAAAGAAGCATGGGGTAAGGGGATTGCAATGTAAGAGGCTTTAAAAAAGATAAAACATCATTTATGACAATAAGTGTATGCAGGTTAACCTCCTAGTAATATATAACCTTCTCTTTAGGACAAGACACACAGCTAAGACAAAGTGATCCTGAACAGTCAAAAGCAAAGGAATGGGCCAGTACAGCTCAGGCTTTACATTAGAAGAGTGTTATAATTTATCAATACAAGTCCAAAATATTCTATTTAACTGGTGGGCTAGGCTCAGGGCATCACAGATTTTAAAATGTTCCCTAGGTGATCCCAAATTACAGCCAGGCCTTGAGAACTACTGGTGGAGGCAAATGTGAACAACAAAAAAGGAGTTTTAATATTAATATCAGATCCTTGGATATTATATTACACCTGACTCTTGGATGTTCCTTTTCTTATGCAAGAGTTTTCTGGACAGCTACCCAAAGATTTCTTTTTATACCTGGAAAGATACAGGGCTGATAAACTGACACTCTTAGAAAAGAATGTGACCTTCTAAAGCTCTGTCTTCCATCTCAAGAGAGTACCTAGACCTGTTGCAACAAGGGCAGTAAGAGGAAGTCTGCATTGTCCTACAAAGATTTAATCTTTCTTGCTCTGGAAAATTATGAATGCATGTTGTGTCGTAGTATTTCTGTAAGAGAATTTAGGGAGAGCCTGCTTCTCAGTGCCCCAAATGAGGGATTTTTAAAAAAGCCATAATTGGATCTCATTACTATCAATCACCCAGGTTAAAAGAGGAAGATCAGGCACCTTCCTCCTTCAGAGTAGTGACCAGGCTGTGCTCATGGATCTTGACCTTGACTAAACTTTTAAGTCAGAGGCCTCAAACTGTTGAAAAATAATAAAGATGGGAAACTTGTTAACAAGTAGATGTGTGATTACTGTGCATGATATTGGATTATGATTGAACATGAACTTGAGTAGAAAATAAAAGGGGCTTGTTGAAGACATCTCTTTTATTATGTTTTTCTTTTGGTGTTGTCCCTGTTAGCTTCATTGCTTTCAAAATGATAATTCAAAACAAAGGGAGTTTTCAATAGCCCTGATGGAGACCCAAAACAAAATCCAAATATCACATTTGAAACATGGAGAATAAGCCTGTTCCAAAATAAAGATAAGACAGTTATGATACTTTATGTCCCAAAGCATGAAAACAGACAAAATAAAATATACTAACCTGAAGTCAAGGTAAAGTTAAAGAGGAT